GTTTGTGTCTAAAACAGATTTACCCCACAAGGCCAAATTTCTGGATTCTCTGTATTCTTTTTCTGCTTGCAAATTCAAGAATTCTTTCCTGAGTCATCTTTCGCTTGTAATACAAATCCAATATTAGCTAATGCCACTACTAAAATTCTATTCTATAACCATTTCTCCTGAAGGTATCCTGGGAATATGAACTATCTTATAATCAATAGCAGGCAATAGTTATACCAAATGATTTATCACTACATAACGTAAATTCCCATCTTTTAGTTCTCTGATATTAGTTTCCTTTCTGCCTGTTGCTGAACTCTTAAATCGATTATACATATTTAGAATCATGTAAAGGTCAAAGAATATGGCTTGGTTATGTCAGCACCCAACTTCTGATAACAATTTCTCTATTAACACAATAAATACCAGTTCCTATAACAATTCAGTGATTGCACTGACAGGTTTCTTTCTCCCTTATGTCACTATCCAATGCCAATTTTGAAGGTCTCTTTGGAGGCTTTCTTCCAAGTGGTGACTCAGGAACCCAAACTCCTTTCCATCTTCTGATACTAGAATCTTAAACCAATGGTCTCTGAGCATGCTGAAGAAGATGGAGCAAAACTAAAATATTGTTTAAGATATTTTTAAAGGACATGAATAGAAGTGGCTTACATTGCTTAGTCCTTAAATATTTGGGGGTGGAACCTTTTTGCCTGGCCCCTACCAAATTGCAAAAGGATAAAATGAAATCTTCCTGAGTTCTCTGGAGTAGGAAATAGGATTAGCAGTTTACAGCTGTCTACAATGTATTGGAATGTGTCATTCATTTACTTGATTCTTTATTGATGACTGACCAAACGGAGAAGAGATTACCGTTATTTTTCTCAGTCACCAACTAGATGTTTGGACAATAATTACATTTGTATATTAAAAACACAGGTTCAACTTACTTTAAAACTATGAAGAACTTAAGTATAATTTTTCTCATTTAACAAATGACACAAAATTGAAATACGGAGAAGTTCTAAGGAACCCACTGTGAATCACCTAACAAGGTACTAGATATTTTGCTTTGAAAAATAACCTTCTCTGACTAAAGATGTACAACACATGCAAATTAGTACATCAACTGGCCAAACCTAATTGTTAATCATGAATGTCCAGATCCCCGCGATGGTGATGGTTTACCTTAAGTGAACTGATTATCCATGTATCTTGGTCAGACTTACCTGTAGTAACCCACTCCATTTCCTTTGGAAAGCACACCTAAACCCAAGAGGATGGAGAACCCGATCCACCACCAAGTAGGTAATGTAGAGGACGTCAAGAACTGGACAGCCTCTGAGCAAGATGATTTGCAGCTTGGAGGCGGACTCTCGGGCACATCCACAGGTGTTAGTAGTGGAGAGAGAGCCGGAGCCCATGGCAATCCCTAAGCAGGCGGTCATTATCCCATACTTCCCTCACTGGTCTATTCCAGTCTCAATAAATAGCTATTGCAGAGGTTGCTCAGGGCTACCCTACACTTATGGTTAGCCTACCTCTTGCAAGCTTGTACTTCTATCCCTGTCACCCCTGTTTCTTTCCTGCAGTGACAGGAACAGAGCCATAGGGGCCACAACAAGGTAATCAGTGTAGTGCAATGATAAGAGCACAGATTTGTGAAATGGTCTTAGGGCAGTGACTTTCAATGTGTGGGTCATGGCACACTGTTTTGCCATGAGAGAATCTTAGGTGTGCCATGAAATTTTTTAAGGATCAATAATTAAATTATTTTTAATGAAATTCAAAGCACTGTAAGTATATACTCTTTTTTAATTCTTTTTTTTATCAATATAATTTAAGAGTGCTGTGGAAGTTGAAGTGCAAGAGTGCCATGAGATAAAAAGGTTGAAAAACACTGTCTTAGGGTATTCCATCGGCTGTTCCATTCTTGAACAAGTCATTTGAACTTCTCTGAAACTCAGTTCTCTCATCCCTCATCTATAAAATGTGGGATAATATATCTATATGGTGTAATATTTTGAATATCTAATATATACAAAGTATGACCTCTATGTAGACAATGTAAATTGGTTAGGGCATTCTCTGCTTTACCATGTTCATGCTATAACTATTTTTAATATCATATGTCAGTGTATTCAGTAAGGATACACCTATTTAAATATCAAGCACCTACAGTACCCTAACATTTTTCTAGGTGTTACAGAATATACAAAGAAATTTAAGATACTCTTAAGATCCATCCTCAACATGGTTTTGAGGCCAATAAAGTGAAGTTAGCTAGAAATGTGACAGGGGTTCAGAGAGAGAATTCATGTTGGCATTGGCTGGAGAGTCAAAGAGGGTTCCATAAAGAAGATGACTCCATGGATTTGAAAAATTCCAGTTTATAGACAGAAGAAGGGAGATGTCTCAGCATAAAGCTTGGTGGAAGTAAGAAACACTGCCTATTCAAGAGACAAAAGGGTAAATAAAGATAAACGAACTTTACCACTAGTGCTACAAATTCGTTCTGAATAAAATGACATTGAATTTTTTTTTTTTTTTACTCTGTTCCCCTGGGTAGGGTGCCATGGCACTTTAGCTCACACCAACCTCAAACGCTTGGGCCTAAGTAATCCTCTTGCCTCAGCCTCCCAAGTAACAGAGACTATAGGCACCTGCCACAGTGCCTGGCTGGCTTCCCCCCCACACCTATTTTTAGTGGAGATGGGGGTCTCACTCTTGTTCAGGCTGGTCTCAAACTGCTGAGCTCAAGTAATCCATCTGCTTTGGCCTCCCAAAGTGCTAGGATTACACAGGTGAACCACCACACCCTGCTAAATGATACTTAATTTTGTGAATTAAAAAGGGTAATATTCCAGTTCCTGAGAGATCACTGTGTCTCCAGATGATACTGATGTGGGGATAATTATAACAGATTCCATGAATCACAAAAGTTTTTCACAGAGGAAAATAAGGAAATGTATATCTTTTGTACGATTTTGATATATAGTGTATTTGGTGCTTTTCCAATTCAGAGTTTTCTGTCCATGTGCCTCTTTCTCTTTTCTCCTCCTCTTCACTTGGTTCTACCACAGAGACATACCAAGTGCTTGGACAATACCTAGAAATAGTAGACACCCAGGGAAGATTTATTAAATGAATTCAATGAAGTTCTGCTTGGCAGAATTACAGCTTTCTATAGTCCTCAAATGAAAATGGGTAGAATACCATTCTGCTGAAAAAGAGACAAGAAGATTGCTGATCAACTGTTACAATGACGTGATATAAATCCATAAGGAAGGATTTATAAATACTGTGTAAATACTTCACATCTACTAATATGAAACATAGTGACCAGGAAAGGCAAACATCCCAGCTCTGGAAGTTTCAATGTAGTATTGCCTAGTTGTCTAATTACCGCTGGTAACGTGGTTAAAGTTTTGGTAGGTAGTTCAGCAAAATGCCTTCCTTTCCTTCTGCTACCCCTCAGCTCCACTTAATTAGTTGAATGACTGCAGGTGACCAAGGTAGGGCACACCTAAGAGGTGTATGTATATGGGTAGAATACCATTCCGCTAAAAAAGAGATGTACATATATATTTCCCCCCTATTTTATATATGTACATATATAATGTATGTATATACTATACATACATACATATGTATGTACACACACACACATATACCTAAGACACAAAGTCTTGCTCTGTCACCTGAGCTAGACTGTTATGGCATCAGCCTAGCTCATAGCAACCTCAAACTGTTGGGTTTAAGAAACCTTCCTGCCTCAGCCTCCTGTGACTACAGGCACCCTCCACAATGCCTGGCTAATTTTTTCTTTCTTTCTTTTTTTTTTTTTAGCGACAGAGTCTCACTTTCTCACCCTCGGTAGAGTGCTGTGGCATCACAGCTCACAGCAACCTCCAACTCCTGGACTCAGGTGATTTTCTTGCCTCAGCCTCCCAAGCAGCTGAGACTACAGGC